TGTACCTGCTCTCATTTGCTGTTTGGTTGTTGTTGAAATGGTTTTGTGAGCTTTAATCTGAGAATCTGGCGTTTCTGGCAAAACACAGTTATATTTAAAAGTTGATTCAGGATTTAATGAATTGATATCACTTTATTCAAGCTACTCACCTCCCACTTGCTACCCGAACAGTTGGTCGCACAGGTGCAACCAAATATTTTTTTTTAGTCGCACCACTGAAAAATTTGGTCGCATTTGTGACCAAATTGGTCGCACTCTAGAGCCCTGTACTAAGGACTACTAATTTAAAAGAATGTCTAACTGTAGCATGTGTGATTTTAAAAATAAGTTCTATTGAGAATATTCTGATTGACAAACATAGGGGTTTTGACATGAAACATGAGAGAAAGTATTCCTATATAATAAAATTAATCACGTTCGAATGATTTTAAAAAGTGCTTCTGCAAATGGATATGAATGTGCAAGCGCTCTGAGTGCTCAGAGTAGAAAAGCACAGTTCATAACTGTCCTTCAACTCATTCATGTCACCTAAAAGTTAAACCTGTTTCTCCATCACCTGTTCTGCTCTGATGATTCAGTAAGGACATCTCCTGGTTTCATCTTCATGTTTCCCTCAAACCGATATCATGACCAGCAGCTTTTACAGCTGTAGCTCCAGCAAACATCAGCTGATACTAGAAAGTAATATTAAACCAATTCAAACAATAGCTGATCAAGCTTAAACGTGCTGCTGTTGTTTAGCACGACATGCGCTGGTTTCCTCTTTCTGGCGCAAAGTGGGAGATAAACAAACGAGAGAGATGGGACTTGTGACAGAAAAGCTGATCATTGATTAGTTTCATGATTGAAGTAGCAACAAGAGAGAGAGGGGGAGAGAATGAGAGAAGAAGAGGCAGCTGACATCATAAAGACACAGAATAACTCCAGCTTTGTGTCTTTTTTCATTCTCGCTAAAGTATGGGACAAATTGCGTTCCTTTTTACCTCAATAGCTTTGGTCAGAGGGCCCGGTGGCGCCAGTGTCCAGCAGCCTTGCATCTGTCAGTGCACCCCAGGGCAGCTGTAGCTACTTTCTCATAATGAATCACTTTGGAAAACACTATCTGACACGATTAAGGTTGTGATTAAGGTTAGTGTTACACCCCACTTAAAAATGAAGTATTATCTGGGGTGGGGGGGGTAACATAAAGGAAACGATAAATTGCCACAAGGTAGATGTCATTAAAAATGATTTATTTCACAGAACTAATCAAGCAAGAACGAACACAGGGAAGCTCTGTTTGTCAGGGTCTCCTGGGCCAAAACAACAAACAAAACATCCCCTTTCTAACTACAAACAAACAGAGAATGCGCTATCAGAAAACTGTTGGGTCTAACACTTAAACCCCGCTGACTCACAGACCAATCACTTGTGTACGAAAGCAAGACCACAACGCTTTTGTCTTTTACTTGCTGCAAGGGGCTCTTGCTTTTTTCCAATTTGATTTTTTTTTTTTTTAACAGAAAGCTGATTTCAACTCTATATATGTAACATAGCATCATAGATTTCTCAGAATTGGGTTGTTACAAGTATGAACCTTGTGCACAAAATATCCGAAATAAATGTTTTTTGTTTTTTCCTTTTGAATTACAGCATGACAGTGACCCTTTGTTGGCTCCTCTTTGTACATTTGGTGCTTAAATGCTTATAAGATTAGGTTTAACAAAAATCTGTGATAGGTTTGTAGCTTGTACCTATCCGCTGGAACGTTGAAGACAATATAATTACACTGCAAAGCAAGACACAAGCAGGCTGGTTTACTCATGAGGGAAATCTGGCTGGAGCCGAGTGTCGTTCCACCACTTGACCTCCGTCAGACTCTCAGCCAGG